TTCCTGTATCGCTCCCCCCCAGTACTGTAGTACTGGTGAACGGGAAGCGTTTGAGCGCTTTTGCGCTGTCACGGTCGGTTCGACATTGTTGTCCACTGTCGCCCTTATTTTATGCTTTTGGCGTTGGAGCCTCTTCTTCGCCAGCTGAAGGACAGGACGTGCAGTCCAGACCTACACGTAATAGTTATTTTCCCTGGTAGAGCTCGAGCCAGGGTTTCTCCGTACACCGATGACGTATCCATTTTCGTGTCGTGCCATCGCGACGTTAAGGTGGTACAGAAGGCGCTTGAACGGTATGAGAAGGTGACGGGGGCCAAGATTAAACATAACAAGTCTTTCTGCTTGCGGTTAGGTGCCTGGGAGGGGGTTGTGCTTCCGGGGCCCTTTGGTTGGACAGATGGACGCGTCCGCATTCTTGGAGTGTGGTTCAGGACTGGACGCCAGATGAAGAATAATTGGTCAGAAGTACAGGCAAAAAGTCAGAGCGTTGGTCTTGCCCCTCATCCTTTACTGTTTGGCTGTACTTCCTCTTTGCAGAACTCGTATGGAGGCGATCGAGCGTTTGCTGATATCAGCGTCCGTGTAATTGGAGGGCTGGGATTGCCACACCTGGCGAGTCATCGCCATAGCTCAAGGCTGGTTTTCCTACGTAGCACTTTAACGGAGGGCTCGATTTTGGCGCGGAGTGTTAGGGGCGCCTCCTCTAGCCTTACCATCACTCCCATTTCTTGGATAGGCGCCGTCGCGGCCGTGGAAAGTTTCCTCTGCTAGTGTCCGTCGGCCTTGAAGGTCCAGTGACCTTTCCCGGCCTCTGAGACTATTGTATCATGAATTAGTGGAGGAGTTCGCGAAGGATCCTCTGTTTGACCGGCTCGGCTTGTCTGCATCAGAGTTGCTCTCCTTGTGGTCCTGGGCGTTAGCGGCTGATTACCTCAGTAACTCCGAGTTTTCGCTTAGCTGGCGATTGATTCAGAACGTGCTACATCTCAATGACGTACTCTTTAGATGGGGCCAGGCAGAGTGTCATCGGTGTGACCTTGGCTTAGAAGAAACGCCTGTACACGCCTTCTACCATTGTCCTCAGGTGCGCCCCTTCTGTGAGTATACCGGTGAGTTGACGGCCCGTCTCGCTCCTGAGCAGCTTGTGTCCATTGATCTCGCGTACGCGTGTGACAATGTATCGCCGCCATTCTCCGGGGTAAAACAATTTTTCACGTTGCTAGCCGTGGCTAGAATGGTGGTGTAGACATCGTGAAAGGAGGGAATTTGGCAAAATTAACGGATTTTGTATCAGGATCTGGTTGTTTTCTTTAGGCACCAGCTTAAGGTGAAAATCATATCCGATCATCAAGCTTTTGATTTCGACAGATTTCAACGAAAGATGGGTGACTGAGGCGAGCCTGGCTCGTGTGGACGGGGCTAACCTTGATTTTCTCTTTTAACTTCCCGTGATGCAACGAGGCGGTTTCCTCTGAAACCTCCCCTGGTTAGGTTAGTACTATTTTGTTGTTGTTCCCGGCCTGTTTCCCGGCATTCTCTTTTGTTATGACCCATGTTGAGATTCCCAACCACACCATTTTGTTTTTGTCCCCCATTTTTCATCTCGACAGGATCAGCCTTTGATTTTCCCCATTCCGTCATTTATTTTTACCCTGCCCATTCCATTAGTGAGTGTGCTGCTTGATTCTGTCCACTGGCAGAATACAATGGCTTCACTTATTATTTTGAGGGGTGGACGGTCCCTACTAACATAGTTTTGTTTTAGTTGCATCTTTTGAGTTTGTTTTCTGGGTTCATCTCCCCTCCTCCATAATTTCATGTATCATGAGATTTTTATTTATAAATATAGACTTTCAAATTTTTATGTTTTTTGTAGGTTCCCTGCGAGTATGCGGTGTTTTGGTGTATGTAGGATTGAAGGTGATGGATAAATTCTTGTGGTGAATGAATATAATGAATGAATGGGTCGCGAGTCGGATGAACTAGGACTAGGACAGCTACGGAAGACCATCCCCCTCCTTCCCCCATCCTTAGGCCTTGTGCCACAATTTCCGTAAGAACAGAAATAAATATATGTACTGCTTGTAAGAAGTTTTTGAACGTCACTCGTCTGTAGTATCAGGTTCTACGTCGAACCGCTGTGGACACATAAATTGTTCCATGGTGGAGAGATCCTCAGTTGAATAAATTGTAATCACAAAAGTACACAGATGTAGGCTTTAAGAAGGAATTATTCAACTGAGAATCCAAGGTTCGCGTATAGTGTCCTTTTATAGTCCCAGTAAACAGAAATAGCTCTCTCAAAGAAGAGAGTAACAAAATAAGGGGAGACCACTCTTGATTATTCATAACACGTACACTGCTGTTTGCTTTTTCTAAGGAGTTTACCCAGTCTGTAGGTTTCTGTACAGGTTTTATTATTCCCATTTTTTCATGTTTTTCAGTTCATTTTTTAGCTTTGTTTTCATAAAAATAAAATGTTTCTTCGAAGATTTATAACGGGTTTATTGATATGTAAATAGTAATTTGTCTATCTTACCAAAATAGTCATATTCTTCTAATAAACTCAGTATGTTCTTTTTTTTTTAATTTCGAAATTCTTTTTATTAGCTTTTCATATGTTTTCACGTCAATGACTGGATTTGAATTGCTGCTATAAAGTGCGTTAATAATTCCGAATTTTTGTTGTGTAGTGTTGCTGTCCAGCTTCCTATGACTGGAATATTCGCATTATTACAAACATTCAATTTTACTGATGTTCTATGTAATTTTGATTTTGGAGAAATATTTTTTATATATTCTCATAGGAAATACATTCACTTCTGCACCTGTGTCTATGTTACCATTTCTTCATTCACTTCTGCGCCTGTGTCTATTTTAAATGTTACCATTTCTTCATTCACTTCTGTTCTACTGAATTTATGTTCTTTTTTTGAATGGCGTTCATGTAATACACTTTGTGGTCTGACATTTCTGTCCTGCTGGATATTTTTATTTCATGTAAATTCTTTTTCCTGGAAGTTCGCAAAGTGTCCCTTTTTCCGCAATTCTTAGAGTTTTTGTAAAGTGCTGGACAGTTATCTTTGTTGTGTGAACCTGTGCAGTACCCGCAGGAATTTATCCAGTTGTACTTTTTTCGCGAGCTTTTCGTCTTCTTGATATGTAGAAGCCATTTTTTTTTATTTTGGAATCTGGCTTTGATGTTGGTTTTGGAACCTTTTTTTCCAGTCATATATCGCGGGGATATTTTCTTATTTGTGATGAAGTATTTATTTTTGACTGTCTTCTGGTTTCTTCCACACTTTGACCTGCCTGTATTGCTTTTTCTAAATTTAATTCCAGTTCTCACAGCATGCGTTTGCGTAATGCACTGCCTCTGATGCTGCATACTAACATGTCTTTTAGTTTTATTAATCTACTGAGATTTGCCTAAATTCACACTGATTCGCAGTGTGGTGTAATTCTGTTACATAATCGTCAAATCAAATCTGTTCTTTTTATTTACATGTGAAGAACTTATGCGTGAGGAACGTTAGATTCTTCCTCGTTTGGCAGTACCTATTAAAATTTTCTATCATCACCTGTAGATCGTTCTTCTGTCCTTCATTCTCAGATACAAACGTGAGTATATGTCTCCTACCTCTTGATCCTATACATGTTAGTAGAATTGGGGTTGTTATTTTCCCAGTTTTCGTATCTGATCCCGTAGCTTGTAGGTGTAATTTGAACTGATTGTGCCATTTTATCCAGATTTGTTCTAAGTTTTTCACAGCGAAGTTCAATTCTTTTGGATAAGGCAGAAAGTCCATCTCTTTTCTTTTGTGTATTCTGGATTCTAAGAATTATTAGTTCTGTGCTTCTAACACTATTTTGTATTTTGATATCGTGTTAATAATAAATGAATAAGAATTATATAAAACGATGAGTTAAAACCAATAAATCTGAACAATGTGGAATCTTTATTGAAACTGATATCTTTGCTTAATGTTATTAGGAGATAGTATTTATGGTGAGTATTAGTAAGAGGTAATGTTTATGGTGAGTATTAGTAACAGGTAATGACAGTATACAACAGTTATTTAAATAAATGTTCAAATAATAATATGGAAATAAAACAGACAAATGTAGAGAGAAAAATTATTAAAAGTTACAAACCGATGATGGTTAACTTTGGGTGTGAGATCAGGAGGATAAAACTACCGACAATGTAATCAGTGTCATGCTTTTATTCTGAGAAGTTCCCCTGATATACTAAGGGCTAATCGGAAGTGGTCAAAACTGTGACCAATCTAAAAAGTATCTAAACTAAAAAAGAGACAAAGAGGAAGTAAAACATGACAGTTTCTATACTGTGGAGACAGAACAGAATTGTATCAATTAATCCTTAGTTGACAGTCATTGAGCACTTTCATTCTTTCAGGAAAGTGACAAGCTCTGAAAACACTGACTGGGAAATTTCTGCCCATGCTGAATGCAAGCACTTTGTCATGAAAAGCAGGTTTTACCTGTTTCTTATGCAGTGATCTATCTAGTAAGGCTAAGTCATGTTCAATAGGCTGCATGTCTGGTGATTGACTTGCCATAGAAGAACTTATGCCCCATTTTGTTCCAGCCTCACTCAGGTTACTTTTGTAGCATAACATGAAGTCCCATCTTACATGAAATATGTGGTTCCCTCAACCATCTGAGTATGGGGAGAAATCCTTCCTAAAGGATCAAAATGTGTTTTGCAGCATTGATGCAGTACATTCTACCAATGCAAAGCCACTAGTTTTCCAAATCACTCGCCAGACCTTCACTGAAAACCTACCGTGTTTGACAGGGGGGTCTTGGAAGATTCCTGATGAGGGTTACTCCAGACCCAAATACATTTACTGACAGAGAATTGAGCAAAAGGATAATGCGTCTGAGAAGATTACACCTTGCTAAAAATTTTGATTCTTCTTGGACATGCTATTAGACCTTTCCTTTCTTCTTCTTCTTCTTTTAATGTTGCTTTATGGTCATATTGCATTGAAACACCGGTTCTCATTCCATCACCAAAGTTAAGCAACATCAAGCCTGGTTAGTACCTACATAGGTGATGACTTGGGAATACCATGTGCTTGGATGTCCCATTGGTTTAATGGATAACAGCTTGGAATTGGAATCCCAATTGTGTTTTTTATATTCAGTTATGTGCAAATACCCTTGAGAAAGGTATGAATCCACCTTTTCTCCTTCTGGTCATAGCTTAATTAGTAGGACATCTATCAGTAAAAAAAAATTCTTGCAGTCTAAATGTATTTTCTGACTTTAAATAACCTGCAGAGGGTTGATAAGCCTTAAAAAAACAAATCAATTTCTTAATATTGGCTGGGGTGAGAAAAAATTTGAGTCTAGCAGCCCCCCCCCCCTCATAGCCACTGCTATGGAAGATACTGCACAGTTGTTTTGTGGCTCACATCAATGGTGGCTGCTATTTTGGAAACCTTCTCACTTGAGTTTCTCTACAGACTGTTGAACAGCTCAGACACATGTCAGAGAGTTCAGGTCACCCAAAACATGGTGATACACTTTCCTTCTAAAGTGATTCATGATCCTATTCACTCTAGTAAAGAGGAATATTAAGGTTTTCAATTTGGCACTAAGTTCTGACTGTCCAACAATTCTGCACCTTAATAAAACTTGACAATTCTACTGACCCTCTTACTGTAGTGATTCCTTTGTAGAGTAAGACCATCAGTTCTGAAAAGTAACAATAGAGATTTACTGTATATACTCAAGTATAGCGTAAGTTTTTATGATCAGTGTTTTCAGACAAAATTAGGGAGTTGTATTACACACAGTTAATTTTTTTGAAGAGGCTAAAAATCATGCGTTTTTGGTGACCAGTAACACAACACACAGACAATTCTTTTCTGGAGTGGTTAAAATTCATGCATAATTGTGAATGAATATTTCTCTTTAAAATGTAAACTTAAACAAAATGTGAATATTTTTGCAGGAAAGTTTTCTCATTTTTAAATAATCATGATTTAATCATTTCACCGCAATCAAGGTAATAAAAAACCACTAAGATACAAGGGGTTACTGAGTGTTACAGAATATTAAAAAAAAACACTATTAAGTTCAATAAAAGAACAGGAATTAAAAAGATAGATGATAACGATTGACATTGTATTTAAATTTTTGATGATCAAAGTTGACTGGGAAGCAAGAAGCCTGAAGAAAGTTCTACAAGCAAGAAGTGCAATAGAGGAAACTATTAACTTAGAACTTATGGTTACATTTAGCCATTTCAACTGTAAAATGAGACCAATCTAAAGAAATAAAATCAATGCTTCTCTGTATGGCATGTGATGAATTGTTAATACCATCAGTTTCACCATCTTGCATCATTTCTCACCACCTTGTCTTACTGTCAGTGTTGGTAGCACTTGTGTTACTACCATTATTTTCTACCAGCATAAAAGAAATTAAACATGTTCTAAAATTAGACGCGTTCAAAGATTTCATAGAAAAATAAAACTTTCTTCTATTGATTCATACATTTTTTTCAGCTAAGACAAACACCTGCTTTTCTCTTTCCCTTATTGGGATCACTGTCATGAATCCCATGAACCCTGAAGGTCTGTTGAGGCACGACATATATTGGAACTGTTGCAGTAGTAGGTGTGTCTAGTGCCTGACTCAGCCTGTTTATACTGTTTGTCATGCCCACTCTGCCTGGTTTGAATTTAGTTTTCCTTCTCCTAGACTGACTGTCAACCAAAGAGTCTGCCTAGCTATTTAACCCATAGCTGGAGAAAGATGGATTTGTGCCTTTTCCAAGGGCATTGGTATAAGATGAACAAAACAGATGTGGTCAAAATTTTAACTCTGCATGCCAATTCTAATTTCTGCACCAATAACATTAGGCTATCTGCTAGCACTGGATTTAGAATAAGTGTAGCAGTGAGGAATCTTCCAAAATCCATGAGATGAAAATATAGATTCATGCCTTTCTAAGGGCTTTCGGGCAAAGTGAACAAAATACACTTGATCAGAATTTGAACTCTGCATACTAATTCCACTTTCTATACCCAAAACTGCTATAATCTAGAGAAGGTTACTGAATAGAATAATTGCACAAAGGTTGGTAATGAATGATAATACTTAGGACAAGAACAACACATATAAGATTTGCCAGTGATACATAGAAGAACTAGTCAACTGCTAGAAGTGAGTCAAGTGAATTCCACAATGAATCTCCAACTGCAGACCAACATGCTGTATTTACTACTGTGTTTATGTGAATGGGGACATACCCATTATCATCTGTAGGTATGCTACAATAATAACATTATACTATCTGCTCCTGAAAGATTTAGCTGAAGAGAGGTACTCAATTGTTTCACTTATGAGGTCTTTCACAACAACGATGGCAATGACAAAATTATTACACACTCTGGCTAGGGGCTCCCATAGATTTTGAATTCATAGACTTCAGCCTATTAATCCAAAATGTAAATTCGCCATGACTATTAATCTTAATGCCAGATTTTTTTCAAAAAGGAAAATATTCTCCAGAATCAATGTTACACTTTACTTAATTCATTTCCCCCTTATTTTCAATTAATCATTTCTCTCATTCCAGTGTTACTATCAAATCTTCACTTGGTCAGTATTCTATAAAAAAAAAAAAGTTTTATACTGTAGTTAATTCATTTCCCTTATTTTCACATCAGATTACCTTTCTCTCATTCCAGTGTTGCTATCTAACATGAGGCAGTTTCATATTCATTGACTTTCCATGACAAAATTATTATTTTATTTTAGAAAAGCAGAAAGAAAAACAGAAATTGATATTATGCTTTAATGATAAATCACACCCTTGGATCAGCATTTGTTGAAAAATCAAATTTAGTGTATCATGTGTGACCCCATAAAAACCATATCCTTGTGAAGGTTGTGGAGCTGTATTTTCACAGAAATCAATATTGGTGAATCAAATGCAAACACATATTGAACATAAATCATAGTCTTGTGAAATTTGTGGGTGTTTGTTTTCATGAAAAGCATATTTAGTGCTCCATATGCAAACACACACTGAAGAGAAAAATATACTTGTACAAATTGCAATTCAACTTTTTTCATATGTTTCAAATTTGCAGAAACATGTGCGACTTCACACTGAAGAGAAATTATATTCTTTTGAAATTTATACATTCGAATTTTCATTTCAAAGTTGAAAAGACACATACATACACACCCTGAAAGATTTGATAAAATATTTTTTTTTACTAATTTCTAACTTAAAATGAAACATTAACATACAAATCATAGTGGAGCCAAATCTGTCAAATATTTTCAGTGAATATAAAGTATAAAAAACATGTGAAATTCCAACGGAAATGCAAGAATCTGTTTTTCTCAAAATTTTAAGTGAAAACATATAGGAAAAAAGATATTACAAGAGAAAATATTGTTTTGGAATGAAAGTTTGTAGCATTTTTTTATGTGAATTTCAAAGATAATATTTGGATAATAGTAGAAACGTTTATGCAAAACACATGCGCCATTTTGTTTTACCATGTTTCAGATATTTGATGCAAATTCATGATTACATCTGTTTTATTATAATTTTTATAATTTTATTAGCTTCCAGAGAATTTAAATTCTTTGTATTAAGAAAATTTTTGTTGGGATCAAAATGAGTGGTAATCTGGAGTTGTAAATTCAGGTGAGATTAGCAGGATGAGTATGACATCTCAGGCACAATATACCTATTTCTGCCAGATCATCAAAGAGACATGAGGTCTGGCATTCTCCAAATAGAAGTAAAGACTATTCGATTGTTCATTTCTTGATGCTTTTCATCAATTGCTGTGTTTAATCAGTCCCTTTCGGAAGAGTAATTGTCTGAATTCAGCATCTGATTTTGCAGAATGAGCATGTTATACACAATGTACTTTCAATGCCATCATATGTACAACATTATCTTCTTTAACTTTTAGGAATGATCATAATGGTTCATCTTGGTTTTCTGAGCATCTTCTTCACGGTACAGTTGCAACACAATCCAATCTTGGTACTAATTTCAATAGCTGACAATTGATTAGAAATTGTTTTTTAGGCACGAATTGTTGCTTGCATATTTCTAGAATGTCTAAATTTTCATTATACTTTCAGATGTAAGCTTAGCAAGTGGATTTTAAATGTTTCTAAAGTCATTTAGTTGAGATTATAAATGCTTGTTACACACATTTTCTTTTTACAATGTACATATTTTAATTATTTGCTTTTATTTTTGTATCAATATATTATTTAAACTTATTAAACCATTTTAAAGTTTGAATCAGTATTTTTCATAGTCTTATTCCTTCAGTTTAGATTTCTTGGTGAAAATGTTTTTCACATATTTGTTTGTCCTTTGAAAATAAAGAAGGTAACAACATGTAAGCAATGATTAAGAACTTTTCTTGTTTCATAATGGCTGACAATATGTCTTAATGCATTGAGGATTCTTGCAATGACTTAAGCTCTACTGAAAATAGTGCTAGGTAATTTTTCTATCTAGAAACTCAGTATTGTATCCAAAAGCCTATCTAACCACTAACTGCAGGGTTGATCACATCCCCAATTATATACAAACTAGTGGTAAGATTGTAAAAATTAAAGAAATCCAAAGCAAAATCACAACTGCAATATGAAAAACTATCCAATGACTTAATTTGCAAGCAATCATTGCAATTAATGACTATGAAGTTTTGAAACATAACAGAGATTCAAAATGGAATGCATGAAGGAACAAAGAAATGATAGTAGCAAAAGAATCACCCTGAAGAATGAAAGACAAGTGGACAACAAGTGAAATTTTAAGTCTAATGTAGGAGAGATAACAGAGTTATCCAAAGAAAAAGTATTGTTTATATAAGACTAAAGAAAACCATCAGAAATAAATGCCAACAAATGAAAGGCAAATGGTTAAATTGAAATTTTACTGTGATTGAAAAATAGACATCACTGTTAGAAAAGATCAAAGAAAATGCATCAATGAAACTATGCTTGTTGCCAGTCTGAAGAAAAAAGCAATCATATTGGAACAAAGAAAAGTATCCAATGTTTAATATACATAGCTCACT